GCAACGAAGTTCTTCTTGTAAGAAGACGACCCATGTGGCTCCCGGCCCTGCACCCATAGTAGTTCCTTGGTCCCTGGATGTGCATTCTCATGCGGCCCAGTTGCACACATGGCTTCAAAGCTGCCAGCCCTGCAAGCCTCGATTGCCTCGCAAACGGCACTTGCAAGATGCTACGTGGCACCTCATTCAGAACAAGGCTTATCACTGGAAACGTGCCCGTCAGATTCGACAAACTCTACGTGTGGCCACCTTGCGGTGCATTTTTCAGGGATGGCGCTCTGCTGGGGCCATGTCATCTTCCTCCACTTCGAGCTCATGGCTGAAACAGAGTCAACTCGACCTGGCGTGGCATCTCTTTTGCTATCAGCGGTTATGCCCGATTGTAGCCAAGCGTGTCCGACAAGATGACACCGACTACTACCAGGCTTTTGCACACCGGCACTCTGATGAGTCTTTGCCAACCTTGTGGAAAACCCTCAAACCTGTGCTCCCTCGCGCATCTGCCAAGCGAGCCAGCAATCTGCGGTGTGTTGGACCTGCCACTACGGATATTGTGCAGCATTTTGATGCTCTCGAAGCTGGCGAACCTGCATTGTACTCCGACCTGTTACAAGCTTGCCACCGAGCCCAACAAGATGCACTTGCTGATGCACCCCTCGTGGTTCCATTAGCTGACCTGCCGTCTCGCATCGACATTGAGCGTCTTTGCTGCAGAGCCAAGCGAGGCAAAGCCCCTGGTATTGATCAGGTCACTTCTGAAACTTTGCAGACATGTGCCGTGTCGGCTTCGGATGCCCTTCACCAACTGCTCTTGAAGGCCTTTGTGCAAGGGGCGGAGCCTCTTCAGTGGAAGGGGGGAAAGATGCATGTGATACCCAAAAAGACGAATGTCTTACGGGCGGATGCCATGCGTGGCATCATGTTGCTCACCTCTTGTGGTAAGCTTTACCACGCCATGCTCCGCAAGATGCTGATTGGTTGGACCACTTCCATGAGGATCCCTGCCCAGATGGGAGGTTTCCAGTACCAGCAGACCAGTTTCGCGACCCATCTCCTGCGAACTTTCTGCAGTTTGGCCATTGGTGCGCAGATGTCGGTTGGAGTGCTCTTTTTTGATGTGAAGGCAGCGTTTCACAATATGCTGCGTGAGCATGCCTTTGGTGGATCTGCGCTACCAGCACGTCTTTGCGAGGTGTTGGCCGATGCAGGGCTTGAAGTTTCGCAACTTTGTAGTGATATTGCTGCCCATTCCACACGCTTTGCCACTGTCCCTAATGCTGCCCTCCGACGAGCCGTTCGTGATGCCCACAACTTCACCTGGTATGTTGTTGATGGACACCCTGAGTGTCATCAAATGCATAGAGGTTCAAGGCCTGGCAGTCCTCTGGCGGACATTGCGTACAACATCACTATGCTGAACGTTTTGAATGACATTCTTCCGTTTTTGCATCAATGTGGACCCATGAATGCGGCTGCTGTTCATCTACCTGTCCGATCTCCTTTGGTGACATGGGTTGATGATTTGGCAATTCCAGTGCCTGTCCTCCATGCACGGGAGCTTGATGACCAGATTATTGCAGTACTTGGAGAAGTGCGTCGCATTTTGCGGTCTTATGGTTTGCAGCTCAACATGCAAGCTGGCAAGACGGAACTGGTCTGTCAGTACCATGGCAAGGATGCAGTTGCCTGTCGCCATCGACGCTTTGTCGAACATGCTGGGCGCTTGGCACTTTCTGATGGCACTTTCTTGCATGTTGTCGGCCAGTATCAACATTTGGGCACAATGTTTAGTCAGTCCTTGTCTCTGAGGAGTGAGCTGGATGGACGCATTGGCAAAGCTGCTGCTGCCTTCCGCCAGATGTCCAAGCCCATTTTCAACAACAAAAAGCTTGCACCCGCATTGCGTCTGCAACTTTTGGAGTCCCTTGTGCTTTCGATTGTGTTCTATGGCTCAGGGACATGGCCACTGCTCAATCATCGAATGTATGCCAGGTTGGCACATGTTGTTGTGAAATGGCAACGCCAGATTGCAGCTGATGGGTATTGGCGGGATGACCGTACTGCAGATCATGATTTTCAGGCGCGATGGCACTTGCCTGTTCTGTCTGCCCGGCTAGCCAAGCACCGTTTACTTTACGCCTTCAAGTTGGTTCAACATGCTCCGCAAGATCTGATCACCTGCGTGACTGCTGAAGATGAATCTACAGGTGGATCGCCTTGGTGTTTGGCAGTGCGTCACGCCATTGATTGGATGCGTCTTCAGGACCCTCACAATTTTGCTCATGAACCTGTCGACACTTCCACCACTTTGATCCAATGGCTTCATGATCACCAACATGACGGGCCTCATCTTGTGCGAAGGCTAGCCCGGCGAGCCATTACACAGGATCATCTTGCGTTTGAGCTGAAGCAGAAAACACGGCAGATTTATGATGCCTGCCGCTTGCAAGGAGTCATGTTTGATCAGCTCCCTGACGTGCCCCTGACAGCATCCGCCACTGCTTTCACTTGTGGGATATGTGGCCATGGATTTGGATCTGTTCAAGGGCTCCAGGCACATCGATGGCGCAAACATCAGATTTTCTCAGAAGAGCGGCGGTATGTGTATGACACCACGTGCCGAGCCTGCAATCGCTGCTTTTGGACCACCCAGCGCCTTCAACAGCATCTACGCTGGAGTCGGCAACATCCTCATGGTTGTTTCTATGTGATGCAGCGATACTTTCAACCTTTGGATGTCCCTGTTCAATGTGCGGTTCCTGAGTTTGCGCAGGGGTTCTCACGGTTGCCTGCCAGCACTGTTGAAGGCCCTTTGCCTGATGTGATGCCGACGGTTTGGCAGGTTCAGCAACAAGCTCGTCGCGATCAACTGCAACAACGATGGCAGATGCTTGGCTATCCTGATGAGTTGCCTGATGAATTTCAACAGATGGTCTATGACCTGTGCACTGCCACCACAATGTCTTGGCTGCAGAACACGGCCCTTGAAGAGCTTTGTGATGATCACTTGATGCATCAATGGCTCGCTGCCCTGGATGACTTTTCCGCTGATGATGCTGATCAGGTCAACATGGCGACATGGGCCTTTCTGCTTTGGGGCCAATTTGTCCTTCCGGACCTTATTGAACGCACTGAAGACCCAGATTTTCAAATTTGCATGGATCGTGCCTTCTTTGAGGTTTCCAAGATGTTTGAAATGGGAGACCTTTTGAATGAGTTTGACAAGGTCAAACGTGCTCGAGAACCGATGGCACCCTTGCTTGATCCTCCTGTGGTCACTACGGATTCTCGTCAGAAGGTGCTCCTGGAACCCTTCTCCACGAGCTATTTTGATCAGCCTTCACTCCTGCAATCAGTAATGCCTCCTGTGTTAACTTGGCCTACTGCCTCTACGGTTCCGGTAGTGCTTGGGTATCACGAGAAGCCGACACTGTTTGTCCTGCACATGTTTTCGGGGCGCAGACGTGACTTTGATTGCCACTATTGGATTGAAGCTCTTGCCCCCACCATGCTGCCGGAGTACCACGTGGTCTCATTATCCATGGACACAGCCATTGACCCTCAACTTGGCAATTTGCTAGCAGGCGCCAGTTTGGATCATGCGATCTCCCTGGCCCGTGGTCATGCCTTTGCCCTTGGGTTGACTGGCCCGCCATGTGAAACATGGACAGCGGCGCGCCATATCCAATGTGCTGAGCTTCATGGACGTGGGCCCCGCCCTTTGCGGTCTTGCCAGCAAGCGTGGGGCCTTCCGGGGCTGACAATGCGGGAGCTCTGCCAGCTTGGTACTGGGTCGAGTTTGATGCTCCATAGCCTGCTTTTGGAGGTCCTCATTGCCCTGGCTGGTGGTGGTAGCATCATGGAGCATCCAGCATTGCCGGATGATGAGGACTATGCTGCGATCTGGCGCACTTTGCTCCACCGCTTCCTCATCATGCGTGCGCCGATGGCCCAGATGGTGCGCATTGAGCAGTGGAGATATGGGGCAATGTCGGTGAAACCGACCATACTGAGAGGCTTAGGACTTCCCAAATTAGCAAAACACCTACATGCATGTAGGCAGTCTAATTTGACGAGACCCACGGTCGTCCTTTCCGGGTATGATGCCGCCCGGCGCTGTTTTCGCACCGCTGCAGCTAAGGAATATCCAGCTGGGCTGTGTGAGGCCTTGGTGCGCTCATCCTTTCAGAGCCTTAGACTCCGTCTCAAGGCCGCTGGCACACGAAGCGTCCAGTGGCAGGATTTTGATGTTAGTGCCCGAACGTGGGCCCAGGCACTGGCACATCGGAGCGCAGTCTCCTTTTCCACATCATTTCTTCCCGACTACCAGCCTGTGTAAAGTGTATAATATGGCAGTCTCATGAAATGATGGTGTATGCATGGCCGCACAGTCTCAGACTATCTGCGAGTGAATGAAAAAAAACATGTCTTCGATTAAAAACAATCTCAGGTCGGCCCAGGTCGGCCAAGCAACAGCCCAGAAGTGGCCAGGGATAGTCAAGCCTTGAACTTGTGAACCCCTACGAAAATCAGTCAACATCAGTCAACTAGCACAATTTGTTGCACGTGAAAATACATCCTGCAAAAAGCGGTGTAAAGCAAATGCAAATCTGCTTTCCAAGCAACGTCTTGACAAGGCTTAGCTTTTCTCGTTGTAATTCCATCAACTCTTCATCCAAAGGGAAACCACAGGGCGCCATAACTCTGGTGCCTGCCCGGCCGATTTTTCCCATAACTCTGGTGCTTTTCGATTTCGGCTTTTGGAATTGAAACATTTCACCAACTTCCTGCCTTTCTCTTCAGCTTCGTCCAAGGGTCCCACGATGAGTGGTACATCACAAGGAGTCAATGGACAACTTTCCACGAACCTCCACAGCGGTGCTCACGACATACGGAAAAGATGCAGAAAGATGCAGAATATGTTTGCTTAGTCTCAAAAGATCTGCACGCGTAGTCTCGATGATTGTCTTGCAACGTCAGTTGCAGTCAGTGCATCGTTGTCATCTCTCGGCACATCTCGGCACCAAAGCCGAGCCGAGCCTCCACTGGGACGGGCGGCCAGGGCCACTCTGCCGCTGGACCTCCGCTGTGAACAGAGCCGTGTGCGACGCAGAGCCCACAGATGCGAAGGCCGGGGCCCACACCAGTTGCCCTGCGGTGCACACGGAGAAGCCCAACGGCACCGACACGTCAATCTCGAAACGGGTACGTTGAAGCTCGGATTCCTAGGGCACAAATGGGCACGATTCTCACAATCTCACAATCTCCAAACATATCGAAAGACAGGACTTGGAGGTCATCACTTGTCATCACTTGTCATCACTTGTCATCGGATCAACAACTTTGGATCCTTGTGAATTCTCAATGGCCCAATCTGTGCAGAGTCGAAGCTGAGATGCCCACGTCTTTGAGAATCGGAAACCAGCAGGGACTTCGAGGCAAATATCCTGGAAGTTGCTGCCAATCCATATGCATTCGTGCTCTTAGCTTGCACATCATAACATTCGAAAATTGAACTTTTGGGAAACACAAAGCACTTCGACAGAAGCAAGTCGTGATATTCCATGATATTCCATGTCCTAACTTGGTATGTGGAAAGCATCATGGGATCATCATGGAATCATCATGGAATCATGGAATGTTGGAAACTCTTGAGAAATTGGCACGGACAAGGTGAGCAAGGTGGGCAAGGGTGGGCACCTGCCAGAAAAAAGTCCATGTCCACGGAGGTTTCGAAGCACTGATGGCCACCGATGCCATCGCTTAAGCCACCTGGCAAGCCCGTCCCATCAATAGCCGGTTGAAGTTTATTGGTCCAAAATCAAAGGCGGAAACAGTGTTAAACAACAGCTTCGTTTAAAAAAAGAATCTGCTGTGAAAATTGTGAAATAAAGGAAAGTGGAAACAGTGGAAACCACTTCAGAATCACAGGGCAATCGAATCTCACGCAGCAACCCACATCCACACCCGCATCACGGGGATGCACTGGCAGCTCGATGAAGTGATGTGGGGAACTCTGAATCTGAAGCCATTCACCTGGCGATTCGCCAAGAACATTCGTGTCCTCCGTCCCCGAAACGTCCCCGAACCATCTGAAATTGGTGGATTTCCCATCTGATCCCATCTGGGTTCTATGCGTTCTATGTTCACTGGGTATCACTGGGTTTCTTTGAAGGACATGAATTATAGGGGGTGTCCAGTGAATTTCCCTGGAGTAAACTCTGGGAGATGTGGAAAACAACGGAGGCTTTTGAACATCTTTGAACAAACTAGCTCCCATTGTTACAATTGCTGGGGATGTTGGGTGGGCGTGCCGAGCAATCTAAACTGTGATGAACCCAACCTGCATCATTTAATCAAGAGATGATCCTAAAACAAAAACGTTTCTTGACACTGGTTCCATCCACGGAGCAGGGCCTGACATCTGCCACTCTACAGCCAACTCGATAAAGAGATTGACGCTCCTTGGAATGACATCAATGTGCAGTTGCAGCGCCCCATGCTGACAAGGCAAAGCCGTGACGACGTAGGGCCGATGTAGGGCCCTCATGGGCCACTTTCCCTATTTGTAGTACCAACCCGTCAGAAAAATGCATCCAGCAAATCCAGCAGCAGCGGGTCAGTTTTTCTGAACTCATTTCGTTCCAAGCGACATACCATCGTGGTCAGGTTTGTCTTTGACCACCATCTGATGCAAAGCATCGATGACCTCCGCATCTAGGACTACGACCTGAGCTTTCAAGTGTGATCTGCAACACAACTCGCTGATACCACGGTGCTAACAAGGGGATCAAAGGGGGAAATCTGGAGCTTGGGGGCCCCTGGATTCGCACGTCACACATTCACAACATGGCTATGACTTGTTGCCAGAATTTCGGTCCCACTTGGTTCCACGGAATGGATGGAACGCCAAGCCCTCCACATCAGCCACTTGGTGCACCTGCAACTTGCCACCTGATGAGGCCACAAATCAAGTTGATATTGACCAATGGACCAATGGATGACTCATGCCAGAGCCAGAGACAGCCAGAGACAGCCAGAGACATCTGACCTGCTGCCTTTGTGTCGCTTGGGATCTGAATCCAGGGCGAATGCTGATTCTCCTCAGTTGTGATGCTGATTTCTCCAAAGCCCTGGCATTTTGGAATCCAAAAAATCCAAAAACATGTCAGACGCATCCACTACAGTGTCACTACAGCAATTGCCTCATCTTACACTACCGTCACTCCCGAGTACACTGAGCAAGTTTGTACTGGCAGCAAAGTCCTAGAAATTCTAGCTCCACAACTCCACATCTACGCAAAACTCACAAGGCAAATACGAAGAAATGTCCGATGGATTTCCATGGTGCATGTATGCTATACTGCTAAGTTACTGCTATACTGTGCAAATCTGTTGCAAATGTTGCTTCGATTTGTGGATGAAACCACCTTATATTGTGCAAATCTGCTGCATCAAATCTGCTGCATCTTGTGAATATTTATAGTTGTTTCTTATCTTTCAGCCAGAGCCGCAGATGGCCAAAATCCACGTGCTGCCACCCTGGCAACGCATCAGAGCTGCACCCAACTGACAACGAAATCGTTTTCCTGCGGTATCACATCCCTTCTGCCCTAAAGGCACACACCAGGATTTAAAAACTGCTGCTATCGGCTGCTATCGGCTGCTATCAATATCAACCAGCGAGGCTCCTATCATTTTCCTTCGGCCCATTCCGCCCAATCCTCCAGGCTGCGGCATTTGGAGGCAGCTGGATCTTCACCGAGACACCAGGTGTCCTTGCAGGAACCGTGGGTGGTAATTGGATGCAATTGGGTGCAACTGTTGTGAATTTTCAGACTTGCACCAAGCATCACTGTGCTTAGCAGAAGGATAAAGGATGAAGGGATCAAGGATGAAATGAGAATCGACACTCACACCGTGTCTTAATAACTTAAGCATGTTCAAAGCATGTCATGCTCAGAATGCTGCTTGTGCGTGATAGGAAGTGATAGAAATAATACAGTACGTACCGTACGTACCGTACCGTACAGTACCAAGGAACTTGAAGCCAGTGAAGTCAAGCTGAAAGATTGTGGTTCCCCGAAGATGCTGGCCTTGAAATTCCCATGCGAAAACATGGAAGGTCAGCAGCTTAACCGACTGAAAGCCAAACAGCCATGAAAAGCCATGAAAAGCCATGAAAAGCCATGAAAATAGCATTCATATCATTCATGATTTTGGACACTCACTGAAAACTACTTTCCCTGGCACTGAGGAAATTGCGCGTGAAGTCCAAGTCAATGGATAGTTGCTGCTTCCTTACGGCCGTTGGGTCTTTCAAGATAAATAATTAATCGAAAAGATCACACATTTGGTCGTCACATTGCTTTTCTCCTTGAGTCCTTGAGTATAATTCTGAACCCCTGAATGCATCAAAATAATTGATCATTCATCCATCAAAACAACGGGGCTTGGACTGGCAAGGAAGCATCTGCCCTCCATGCTGAAGTCACGAGAACCACTGCAGCAAGTAAGACCACTCACCGCATAAAATGTGATGATCTTCGTTTTGCAAATGTGACAGATGTGTTTGCAAAGAACAAGCAGTTGAGCCCAAAAAATCAGTGTCGGATATCAAATCTGCACAGCAGACGATGGCCACAGCTTTCAAGTGTTTCGAGTGTTTCTGGCCGTGCCGGAGTGTCTCGAAGAAGCGTTCGCATCTTAGTTCGTCAGCGCATTTTTCCTCATGGCCAGGAACAAATATGCCTGTGGCATACCTGAATCATATCCACATTCGTGGAGATTGGCTCGCAGTAAATCCTTCAGTGCCTTTACACTTTGCCAGCTGTGCCACAAGACGTCCATGTTTGCAGCAACTCTTCACAGAGGTTTGCTGACCATGGCATTCAATGCATTCATGGAAAGCAAAAACGTGTGGCTAAAGTTAAACGCAGATTTTGCCGCTCACTTTTTCCTCCTTAGGCCAATGTTGCATCACTGATTGTTTCGAGCCAATGCTTCTGTCCCATGGCCATCTAGTGAAATCTAGTGACTGTCAATAATTGTTTTGGTCGAAAAGCGAATCATGAAATCCAGACCGCGACTGGTTCCGACTGGTTCCCATTTTGACAGCCGCAACTTGATGGGTCCCTGACGGGCCATGGCTGTTGCATATCCATGTGGTGAACTCCTGGCACTAAGGTACTAGCATTCAGCAACTTGGCAAACTTGGCAAGAGAATGTGGCACAACATACATCTGAGACGTGGTTCAGAACTGGCCCAAAAAAATGGATGGTACTTAAGGCATTTACATGGGTGTGTCTAATGAGTCTAATGTGTCTATTGTCTTTACATAATGTGAATACATAAGTTCAAGGGTCTTGAATTGGGAGTCGGATCGCCAAATAAACATAATAAACGCACATGGATTCACAGGATTTCACAGATTTTCAGTCCTCATAGTCGATCTCACCATCTTCGTTCTCATCCATTGCCTTCCCAGCTGTTGCTGTCACCAGTTTGGTCTCCGTGGCCTCAGCCGCCCGCCGGCCTTCATCAATTTCGTCAAATCCTTCTTGGTGAAGGCCGGGTTCAACATCACCTGGCAGCTCAGATCTTGTCAGATCTTGTCAGCTTCTGACGGAGACGGATCATGAAAACAATTCTCCCAACATCAAGTTCTTCAAGGATGAACGGGTTTTCTTACATCGTTTTCTTACATGGGTTTTCACGTCGTGATTTGAGTGCCGCGCTAACACACGCTCCAGCTCGTCCTTGCAGATTCTGCCATCCTTCAAACGAACTTCAAACCATGCGGTGCACATCATGGTAGACAGCTTCAGATGCCATTGCCATATTTTGCCATGAAACCTCATGAAATAACCTGTGGTGTCCTGAAAAATTATCCCCTGAGGTTTTCCGATTCGATAAGGTGTTGCAGGTGTTGATGTGCGCTGCGGCCTGGTTCACATCCCATGCCTCAAAGGCCTCGCGGATCTGAAAGCTCGCACAAATCGCAACTGGGTGGGCTATATTCCAACTGGTCCACTAACAATGGCATTGATTTTTTGGATTTGGTCCGTTTTGACCTGTCTCCAGAATGTGGTGGGACAGTCTTACAGCTCTGCTAAGTGGACAATGTAACTTCCAACTATTTTTTTTGGGCTGAGAGACTGAAGTCGTGCAAATGCGAGGTTGCAGCTTTTCTTCAGCCCCCCCACCAGTTTGTTTCTTTGATTTCCAAACATGCTCAAACTGCTTTGGACCCATAGCGGCCATAGCGGCCATTTCTGCCCACGCCTTGAGGATCGTGTCTTCATTTTCATCTGCGGCGGCCAAGCCACGCTTCAGCAAGGCGTGGAGCTAGGCAGAAAGCGAAAGTGAACTATGTGGCAAATGGATGCACTTCAGCGATTCGGCATGATGGCCAATGAGCGAAATCGGCAAATCTTCTCCAGATCCCACTTGTTTGGTCATGATTATGTTTTGCACGGTTTCCACTGTTGCCTGTATCTTCTGCATGTTCCAAATTTATCTGCACGTCCACTGATGCTGGGCTGCGAACATCACTGGTTCCTTTGGCAGCATATGCAAAGAATTCCTCAGGCAGCTGCGTTCCCTAATTTTTTATCAACATGACATTGGTAGACAACATCTGTCCTCCTTGTCCAGGAAGCCGCTCTTGTCAGGATCAAACCTGAAATGATCAGATGGAACCAGTGACATCCACAACATCCACCACGTCTGTTTATGACATTTTAGGGACATCTCAGAAGTCGCTACCTCCATGGTTTCCCCCATCCATCGCAACAAGCTATCCCCTACCTCCGGAACAAATTTTCCACCTCTTTTCCTTCCAGACCCAGCGAAGCCATGGCCTACCAGGACGAGGCAGATTAAGGAACAAAAAAAAACAGAATGAATTGTGGATAGTTGTAAAATAAAAAGAGATACCACTGATACCACATGTGTTTGTCTTTCAATTCTGTAAAAAAATAAACTGAGACTCTGCCAATCCAAACACCTATCCAAGTAGTGACATACTGATCCCAGAAGTGTTTCACTTTCGCACGCCTTGAAGAACTCTTCTTTTGAAATGTTGGTGTCCTCGTCCAGATTCATGATTCCGAACCTGGGAACACTCAACTACATCCCAGTTGTTTTGACAGTGTCCTTGATTTGAATATTTTGAATTCAGGTAAGCACAATTCACAAGTCCTTTTCGTTTCAAGACAGGGACTGTATCAGGATCTTTCACAGTTCACACGAAACCGGGAACGAAAAATCCCGTCATTTCAAAACCATCCAGGTCATCCAGGTCCAAGCTGCGCTTCCTTCATCCGCTCAATGGGGCTTGGTTTGTTGGTGCGTTTTTTCTTCTTCTCCTTCGGAATCTTCGGAACACGGCAATACTGCAATACTTCCTTTCATTTCATTTCTGCAGCCGGAATAAAAGAAACTATTTTGCTTAGTGATTGGCAAACACTGTCCCGGAATGCAAGAGGAAGTGCACCTTGGCCGGCATCCTTTCTGCAGCCTTTCGAAGCTCTTTGGCTTTCAAAAAGGCGTGACACGTTGCAAACAAACACGGGTAAAACTTCCGATTGCACTGAAATCACTGTGTCAGTTCTTACGAAAAGACACATCTTTCCAACATGGTCGTTCTTTGTCACTCAGAATCTAGAGATTTTTGCCGTTAATTTTGCGATGTTTTTGGAAGGTCCTTGGCCGCTGAAAATGCTGGAGCAACGCGGCGGCTGCCCTTTCAGCTTGAGTGTCGGTTTGGAAAATGTTGAACACGGTTGAACTCAAATTCGAAACGCAAATTCCAGCTTATTTTTCCACTGTAAGTGCAGATCGCATCAGATCGCATTTTTTTGTCAACGTGCAATTTTCTTCCATGCCAGTCGGAATGGTTTCGTTCAGTCTGTGATTTCAGGGTCCTACAGCATACGGGAAATTGCTGTTCATGTGCAGTTTTGGTCTCCTCCATGTGTATTTTGGCTATGTTTTTCAACAGCTACAAGTTCAAAATGTTTCCACACGAAGTACAACCCCAGAATCACGGTCCGACTTTGCCGATTCGCCAAGACACACGAATGACACAACAAATGGACCATTGATGAAATTCGAACACCAAAACTTCATAAACCTTGAGCTAAACCTTGAGTTTTTTGTGTTTTCCTGGATTCATCTGCACGGTCCATCACGGTCCCAGGTGCAGAGGTCTGGAAGCGAGTGACAACATAAGAGGGACGTTTTTGTTTCGTCAAAGGGCCGCAACAGGAAAGAAATTCATGAAACAACCTTCGCAAGAATAAGGAAACTGAACTTTTTAAAATATCTAGGACCCTGGGACCTTGGGACCAGAAATAAAACAGTTTGGAACACTATGGAACACTTAGTTACTTAGTTTAGCTAAGGTATATTGAAATTTGTCACAATCTCTCTATAGTAAGTTTTCTGACTCTAAGAATGTTTTCAGCATTTGATATTAGTTTTCAAAATGCAGGATGTCCGAATGTTTTAAAATTATTCTAGAATGTTTGTTGAGTTTGTTGTATCATTTTTTCATTTTGCAGTCCGCGGCCTGGACCTTCATTTTCCCCTGGGTTCTCTGCGCCCACGGCCAAAATGCTGTCTGAGCTGACGATGCTCGGATAGTTCTTATCTCAGTTCCAGCAAATTTTGCAAACAAAATAAGGCATCTGGATGCATCCGGCAGTCTTTAAATGCCTTCACTAGTTTGTAGTGCAGGCTATCTTTATCAGTGAGTTCAAAGTTAAACGTGAATGCACAAGATCACGGGAGGCTGTGAGAAAGGTGTTGAAACAGAAGAAAATTAAATCATCAACTGTGAATCTCAGAAGCCAACCGCTGCGACATGGATTTTTTCAGATTCTTCAGAATGTACTTGAGATTGGCATTGTGATTTTGTTGAGGGTTAAAAAAGTGTAAACAGCAGATGTGGGAAGAAGGCAAAGACTGGGTGGAAAAGCCGAACTGCGAACAAAATGATTCCATGTGCGCCCCCCATGTGCGTCCTTCATTTGCTGCGATGGTTTTGGCACTTACGCCTGCTGGCCCTTGCAAACATTCCTGCAAAAATAAAAAACAAAGCCACAAAGGTTGTCCTTCCATGTGTATCCAAACATTCGGCATTGTACAAAAACATCCCCTTTTCTCGTTTGCATATTTGCATACCGAACATTGTAACACGGCAGAAGAAACTATGATCCGATACCAAACACAAACTGCACATACATCTGCCCATGCATGCACACAGTACAATACACTACATTTACATGACGTTACGTTATAATCGCCGCACACAGTCGATGCACGCGATACGGCCGCACATTATATGGGTTGCAAATGGAAATATATATCAGGAGTGAGGTGGAACCATAAGATACTTCAGTGCACATGTGGCACATGCCTTGAGAATCTTAAGCAGGTTTAAGGTGGACGTTATCAGGGCAAAAAACCGTCCCCTACTAGTAACAACGGTGCGGGGGCGGTACTCGCAGAGCGATTCGAATACAGTGGCACACATTGCATTGCATCACGTTGCAGTGCGTTCCATGGTCCTACTTTGCATCACCTGCGTGTTGGTAGCACAATGGAGCAACCTGCAAGTATGTTGTTGCATGTTTTGACGCCTAAATGCTAGAGGAGCTTTCCAGCCCAATGCCTGCACAATTTGATCCCACCTGTAGTCGTCTAACGCATCGGGTGCAGGAGGGACAGGCATAATTCCAAAGTAGTTTGCCACAGGCACACTGCAAAAGAAATAATTGTAGTCATTGACAATGCCAAGCGAAGGTGGGTTTGCAGGGAATGAAGACTTTATGCCACGCATATCGCGCTCTGCCGGCATCCAGATGAGTGGGCTGAAGTTCACTACGGTTGTGGGAAGCGAGATGGAGACGTCGCCGGTGATGATGTGATCGAGGTCTAGGAACGATGAATGTGATCGTCAAGTCTTCATTTGGTGCAGCTGCTGTCGGACTTCTCCTTTTTAAACTTGGGGAGCGTCGAGGTGACTTCCTGACGGCTAGGGTTAGGCTCGAAATTGGTGAAAACTCATGTAAATTGTTGGGCCAAAGGGTGGATTGTGGGTGGGTCTTTTTGACCAACCTGCAGAAATCGTTTGACGATCCCGCCCACTCCAACCCTTAAGCAAAAAGCTGCACACACAAATGACTTTGTTCAAATTCGACAAGACAATTCGATTTTGTTCCAAAAGCTGCATCGTCAAGTCTTCATTTGGTGCAGCTGCTGTCGGACTTCTCCTTTTTAAACTTGGGGAGCGTCGAGGTGACTTCCTCCCCCTTTCTCTTCACCTCTTCGCGAGCCAGTTTCACCTTCTTTAAGAATTTCACCAAGCTCTGCATTGATTTGCACGACTCATCCATTGAGGATTGCAAGAAAGGATGTTGAAGGAATCGTGACGGTATGTCAGCTATGTTCGCCTCCGACGGCACACGTGCAAACCAAATGTTTGTATTGTAATTTACCTCCGTTTCCAGATGTTGCTTCATGATGACTTCAGCAACCAATCCAAGGCCAGTACCTCTGATCAGTGCTGATCGCACGCTGTCATTGTCTCCATAGAGCACCGGGTATGCTGAGGCCAAAATATCGCCGCACATGTCCATAGCTACGCAACACGCTAGCAGTTCCAGTTCATATATTATTGTTTCTTTGCTGTCAGCTCCCAACAGCTTGCATTCATCCGTTCCAAGCTTCAAAGAAAACCACGCTCGGCAATTTCCCAAGCGATCGACAAGAACTCCTCCAAGACCTCCTGAACACTGCTGACTTTCGAAGGAAGCGTCTGTGAAGATGCTCCATTCATTCACTGTATTTGCATCCACTCGTTTGGGGCCAGCACAACGCAAACGCTTTATCATGAGCTCCAGAACAGTTGCTAACTCCGCATCAACCACATTGCTAAAGCTGTATGCGTGATCCACCAACCTTTTGAGCACCAAAGCTCCCAGCCGTCCATGCAAGAATCCGTCTGCGAAACCAAGCCGCCCTTTCAGTTTTAAAGTTTCATGTCTGTTCAATGTCCGCTGCTGCAAAACCTGCTCCAGCTGTTCGGTCAGGTCAAGGATTCGCTTCTCAGTGTTCTTAACCTCCAGGATTCCATCTTTGGACTCCCTGAGGTCAAATGAAACTCCCAGGGCCGCACAAACTTCCGAGAAGGAGGTTGCTTTCTTTCCTTCCCTTGCATATTCCCAACCAGTAAACAAAAAGACCAACTCAAGACAATTCTTGGAAGAATCTTGCAAATCTGGGCCGCTTGCAAGAATAAAATCGTCGTAGAAATTCGTCGTCAACAGCCGCGGCCCTTTGCACGCAATGAAGTGCAACATTTTGGCAAGCCTCAAGAAACTGTAAACACTGTGGGTCGCTCCAAATGGTAATGTTCGTGAGCGGTAGATTTCTACCGAGTCAAGCTCATGATTGTAGATGCTGAAGTAGGCGTACTTCAAGTGGTCCTTGCGCACCGGTATTTGGCGGTACGCTGCTTTAAGGTCATACGTCTTTGCAAGAAGGCTACTGTCAGCTCCGGCTCCTTTCATCTGCTCGAAGTAAGCTTTGATTACTGCTACAAATGTGTCGATCATGTGCAAGTCCAGTTTTGAGTTCACAGTGCAACTATCATTGACTCCTGAAACGGAGTAGTCATCAATCATTCGAACTTTCTCCCCCTGAGCTAGGGGGAATCTTCGAGACACTGTTGCACCTTTTTCAAGCTGATCCAAGCGCCAAGGGCCATCTGCCCAACCTTTGCTAACCTCATCTCTTGTTTCCTGCAGCACTGCCGCATCCAATTCAAGAGATGAAGAACTCTTTGTCATTTTCAAAACAAGCATGTTCCTCTTTTCAGCGTTTTCCTCCAACTGCTCCAGAGTTGAAAGGCAAGGTTTGTATGCCTGTTGAAAAACTTTTGCTCCCTCAATTTCTCCAGCCAGGGTGGACCCTTCCTCAAGAATCTTGAGGGCTTCAGTATCTTCATATTGTAAACTCTCTAGGATTTCCTTCGTCAACCTGATACGTTTTTTCAGCGTGGAGGGGTGCCGCATTTTGGCTCCCATCATCTCTTCTCTGTCAAGCGCTGCTGCACGCTGAAGCCACCGCTTGCACCAAGAAAGTCTGTGTTCAGAAACTGCAGCGGTGGAGTTTTGCACATGAAATTCTATTGTCTCCGCCAGGTCTTGCGGAATCAACTTGCAAAAATTTGCTGGGTGTCCCCTTTCCACTGCTTTCGAAATAAATTGTTCGGGTGTCCATGGCATGCCAAACGCAACTTCGAAACAATCATCGCCATTTTGCAAACCCCCCTGAACAGAAAATGGTGAATGAGTGGCAGTTCTTCGTAAAAACCTGGCAAATTGTGGGACCTGTGCAGACATGCCAGACTCCGTGAAAACACTCAAAGGCTTGTCAAGTTTGGACTGCAGTGAACATGGGACATCAGACGGCTGCTGAACATAGAAAACTGCAACTGAGGCCACATCTGAAATCAAAG